TGAGTTGTGGGTTGGGATTTACCTACCTTTGTCTGCCAGGGCTGCCACATACAGTTATGCACAACTTTGCCATCTGTTTCAGATTGTTTTTTCAAACTGCTTGTATCGCCAGCAGGGCGTAAGAGATCCTGGCCAGCACTTGGTTTTGTTAGATGTTTAAATGGTGCCCATCTGATGAGTGTGAAGCACACTCATCAATTACGGTTTTAACTTGCATTCCCCTGATTATTGGTGAGGACAAAACATCTTTTAGGATTTGTCTTCTGTGCCTTACCTGGCCCTATTTTTCTGTTGAATTGTTTTTCTTATTGATTTGTAATTCTTCCTAAATCACAGTGATTTCTTTTGATCAGTTATCTGTGTTACAAACATTTTCTCCCAGTGTGAGGCTTGTTTTTCATTTTGTTTTATGGTACTTTTTCATGAAAACTAGTTTTTTGGGTTTTTTTGTTTTTTTTTTAAAGGGTCGTTTTTGTGTGATTTTTTTTTCTAATATTTTATTGATTTTTTACAGAGAGGAAGGGAGAGAGATAGAGTCAGAAACATCGATGAGAGAGAAACATCGATCAGCTGCCTCCTGCACATCCCCCACCGGGGATGTGCCCGCAACCCAGGTACATGCCCTTGACCGGAATCGAACCTGGGACCTTTCAGTCCGCAGGCCGACCCTCTATCCACTGAGCCAAACCGGTTTCGGCTAGTTTTTAATGTTATTGCCAAATTTATCAATCTTTTATCATTTGCGCTTCTTTTGGTGTATATTGTCTTTAAAAAAAAAAAATCTTTCCTGCCAAAACCGGTTTGGCTCAGTGGATAGAGCGTCGGCCTGCGGACTGAGAGGTCCGGGTTCGATTCCGGTCAAGGGCATGTACCTGGGTTGCGGGCACATCCCCAGTGGGGGATGTGCAGGAGGCAGCTGATCGATGTTTCTCTCTCATCGATGTTTCTAACTCTATCTCTCTCCCTTCCTCTCTGTAAAAAATCAATAAAATATATATAAAAAAGAATAAAAAAAAATAAAAATCTTTCCTACCCAGAGATCACAAAGATAATCCATCTATACATTTTCCTGAAACATTTACAATTTTTCCTGTTGTATATGTCTGTTTGTGTTTGATTATATATATATATATATAATTTTTTTTAAGTTGATTTCAGAGAGGAAGGGAGAGGGAGAGAGAGATAGAAACATCAATGATGAGAATCATTGATTGGCTGCCTCCTGCATACCCTCGACTGGGGATGTGCCCGCAACCAAGGTACATGCCCTTGGCCAGAATCGAACCTGGGACTGTTCAGCCCGCAGGGTGACGCTCTATCCACTGAGCCAAACCGGTCAGGGCTGTGTTTGCTTTTTAAAGCACCAAAACTATCTCTGAAAGGACACATGGGAATGAGATTAACATCCGCTGTCTCCAGGCCATAGAGTTCGTGACTGAAGATCAGAGAGAGAGGAAGACTTTTTTCACTGCATACTTTTTGTTGCTTTTGAGTTTTGAACCATGTAAACATTAAGATCTATTCAAAATTACATAAATAAATTAAATAAAAATTCATTTAAAAGGGTTCTGTAAAACCAGAGATGGTTTTTCACATTTAAATATCTACTGTACCTAGAGTTCATTTTTGTGTACGGTGTGAGACAGGGATCCAATTTTAAGTTGTCTACTCAGACAGTCATGTCCTTTCTACCATTCTTCTTCTTTTTTTAATTTGTTTAAAATATATTTTTATTGATTTCAGAGAGAAAGGGAAAGGAAGAGAGAGAGAGAAACATCAATGATGAAAGAGAATCATTGATTGGCTGCCTCCTGCACGCCCCCCACTGGGGATCGAGCCCGCAACCCAGGCAGTCCTTGACTGGAATCGAACCCGGGACCTTTCAGTTCACAGGCCAACACTCTCTCCACTGAGCCAAACCAGTCAGGGCCTTCTTTTTTTTTTTTTTTTTTTATATATATATTTTATTGATTTTTTACAGAGAGGAAGGGAGAGAGATAGAGAGTTAGAAACATCGATGAGAGAGAAACATCAATCAGCTGCCTCCTGCACATCTCCTACTGGGGATGTGCCCGCAACCCAGGTACATGCCCCTGACCGGAATCGAACCTGGGACCTTTCAGTCCGCAGGCCGACGCTCTATCCACTGAGCCAAACCGGTTTCGGCAATATTTTTTTTTTTTTTAATATATTTTTTTTATTGATTTTTTACAGAGAGGAAGGGAGAGAGATAGAGAGTTAGGAACATCGATGAGAGAGAAACATCGATCAGCTGCCTCCTGCACATCTCCCACTGGGGATGTGCCCGCAACCCTGGTACATGCCCTTGACCGGAATCGAACCTGGGACCTTTCAGTCCGCAGGCCGACGCTCTATCCACTGAGCCAAACCGGTTTTGGCTTTTTTTTAAATATAAAAAATAGAGCCGAAACCGGTTTGGCTCAGTGGATAGAGCGTCGGCCTGCGGACTCGAGGGTCCCAGGTTCGATTCCGGTCAAGGGCATGTAACTTGGTTGCGGGCACATCCCCAGTGGGGAGTGTGCAGGAGGCAGCTGATCGATGTTTCTCTCTCATCGATGTTTCTGACTTTCTATCTCTCTCCCTTCCTCTCTGTAAAAAATCAATAAAATATATTTAAAAAAAAAAATAGAGAGGGAGAGAGAGACAGAAACATCAATGATGAGAGAGAACCATTGATCGGGAGCCTCCTGCATGCCCCTGCAGTGGGGATCGAGCCCGCAACCCGGGCATGTTCCCTGACCGGAATTGAACCCAGGACCCTTGAGTCCACAGGCCGACGCTCTGTACACTGAGCCAAACCAACCAGGGCTTTTTTTTTTTTTTTTTAAACTTCCTACTATTCTATGCTTAGCTTATTCTTATTCACGCTTCAAGATTCAGTTTAGATCCCTATATTCCAGCTCTGCTGCCACAATACCCCACAGAGCAGTGCTGTCCAATAGAAATACAAGACTTTCTAGCAGACACATTAAAAAAGAAATAGGTGAAGTTAATTTTAATAATATGTTTTATTTAACCCAACATGTGTAATCAGTATAAAATTATTGAGGTGTTTACAATTGTTTTTTCATACTAAGTATTCAAAATCTGGTGCGTATTTTACACTTACCGCAGATCACAGCTCAGACTAGCACATTCCAAGCGCTCATGGTCACTCTTGCTAGTGGCTTTTGTATTGGGCAACGCAGCTATAAGACTACGATCGCAGAATGTGTTGCATTATATTGAAATGATCTCTTCTCATATCAGCCTCTGTTATCAGTCAGGAAGTTTCTGGAGGGTGGGCCCTGAGTCTAATTCATCTCTGTATTCCTCCGTGTACCCAGCTAGTGTTGAGGTACTCAACTTTTTGTTGAATGGCGTGAACTCTGACTGTTGACACACTCTTCCTTATATAAAGCTGAACTTTGTCCACTGGAAAATTCTAACCAGGGGGCCTACCTCTGCTCCCAGGAACCTCACAGAAGTTGAGGTTCCCTGGTGTGGGGGGGAACAGGGGGATATAAGGACACATATGTAATACCTTAATCAATAAAGAAAAAAAAAAGAGTGTAAATTAGGCAGAATGGTTACTACTGATGGCTTGGGTCCTTGCCAACTAGCAAAAGGAACAGAGATCTTTAACACACATTTCGTGCCCAGGTGGGTCCCAGCCACACACTTGGCTCTGAGCTCTCAGGACTACTGTTTAGAATACATCTCCGTTTTTCCTTCTGTTCAGATATTTTCTCCACCGACCTTTCAAAACCATAGAATTTTAGGGCTTAAAAAGCAGAGATATTCCAGTTCCATCCCTTCGTTTTTTAATTGATTTTAGAGAAAGAGAGGAAGGGAGAGAGAAACATTGATTTGTTATGCCACTATTTATGCATTCATTGGTTGATTCTTGTATGTGCCTTGACTGGAGATCGAATCCGAAACCTTGGCATAGCAGGATGATGCTCTAACCAACTGAGCTACCTGGCCAGGTCTCAACCTTCATTTTTAAAATTTTATTTATATATATATATATTAAAATATATTTTATTGATTTTTTACAGAGAGGAAGGGAGAGGGATAGAGAGTCAGAAACATCGATGAGAGAGAAACATTTATCAGCCGCCTCCTGCACACTCCCCACTGGGGATGTGCCCTTGACCGGAATCGAACCTGGGACCCTTGAGTCCGCAGGCCGACGCTCTATCCACTGAGCCAAACTGGCCAGAGCTATTTATATATTTTTATTGATTTCAGAGAGGAAGGGAGAGGGAGAGATAGAAACATCAATGATGACAGAGAATCATCGATCGGCTGCCTCCTGCATGCCCCCTACTGGAATCAAGCCCACAACTCAGGCATGTGCCCTGACTGAGAATCAAACCGTGACCTCCTGGTTCATAGGTGGATGCTCAACCACTGAACCATACCAGCCAAGCTCATCCCTTCATTTAAAAAATTCTTCTTACTTATTGATTTTTTTTCAGAAGAGGGAAGGAGAGAGAGAGAGAGAGAGAGAGAGAGATATGGATTTGTTGTTCCACTTTTTTATGCATTCATTGGTTGCTTCTTGTAGGTGTCCTAACTGGGAATCAAACCTGCAACCTTGGCATATCAGGGTGATGCTCTAAGCAACTGAGATACCCAGCCAGACCATCCCTTCATTTTTCAGCTGAGAAAGGGAGGAACCATGAGAGTTGTCTTGCCCCAAATCCCAGTTAGTGTCCGAGCCAAGGACCAAGAAAAAACCAGAACCCCAGTATTGGGCCAGTGTTTTCTCCACTCCACTAGCCTGCCTCTGGGGCCTCCCCCTGCAAGACTCTTCCTCAGTCCTGACTCCCACCTGGGCTGGCCAGGGTGCCCTCTGGGGGTGAAACCTCAGGCAGGGAGGAAGGCCAGGGCCTGAGGGAAGGCCTGGTGGAGCAGGGTGTGTGTCGTAGGGGTGCATGGAGGAAGGGCAGCAGGGGGTTAAAGTTAACACCAGACAATGATGCAATCGCAGAATCTGAATTGAGTGCAGGTCGCTTTAAGACAGGAGTAGCTGTAATCTGAAGCCTGCTGGAAGCGGGATTGGGAGGCAACAGAAAAAGCTCCTGTGTTTGCAGGAGCCCCCTCAGTGTGCAGACTAGGCTGGGCACCGAGCTGCAGCGCACCCACAGGTAAAGCAGCCCTGTCCGGCCTTTGTGTCAGGAGAAGACAGGACAGGCTCCCGTGGGCTGCGGGGCTGGGGAGAGGCAGGGCACCCCAGGGAGTGGCAAAGAGAGGTGCCAGGGAGAGGAGGTGGGAAACTAGCCTCTGCAGCATGGGCATCAGGGCTAGTGGAGGAGAGAGGGCAGAGGGAGTTGGGGGTCAGAAGGCGGCAACCCAATCATCCCCGAACTCCGGGCGCCACTAGGAGAGGCTGGGAGAACTTGAACCAAGTGGGTGGGAAACAACGGAGAGGGCTGTGGGGGGGAGAAGCAGGGAGCTCAGCTGCAGGGTCAGGTCTGAGCAGCACCTCCAAGAGGCTCTGCAGCCCGGAGGGGAGGAGGCTGCCAGGAGCAGTGTTTCCACCAGGGCCGCTGGGGAGGCAGCCGATCCTGCAGCCCAGCCTGAGCTGGGCTCAGCTCGCTGCTGCTTTTCCAGGCAACTGGTGCTGATTTCAATGGTAACGTCCCAGCACTGCCAGGCAGCTGGGCTGTTAAGCGGTGCTGGAGGGCTGGGATGGAGGACAGCTGTGTCCTTCTCCCCTGTGCCCACACTTTTCTGTTGGCCAAGGGAGCTGCCAGGAAAAGCTGGCAGGTCAATGGGGTTCTGGCCTCTCACACACAGAGATTGTTATGGAGCCCAGCCAGTGTTTGGGGTTTGGGGGCTCAGCTGCCAGTGCTGGAGAGAATGCTGCCCGCACCCCTTCCGCTCCCTGAGGCATGCCACAGCAAGGCGTGGGTCCGGGCCAAAGGACAGCTGCAGGCTTCCCAGAAACCCCATCCCTGCCTGGCCCATGCCCATCTACTGGGAGTTCAGCCCCAGGCTGAGGGTGGGAGAGGCAGGGGCCGGGGAGTACTTGCCCAAGGCTGGTCCTTCTGAGGTGTGGGGAGGGGCAGCTCATGGGCACTCTGGTTCCTTAATCAGGTCTTCGTAGGAAACATTGACTGGGGACTGATGGAGTCACTGTAGGTGGGGTGGGCTGGGAGGGGACCCCCTGGAATCCCCCTCCCTGAGCCAGGGGAGAGGGTGTGCCCTTCCTTGCACTGCCCATGTGGTCCACCACCCTGTGGCTTGAAGGCTCTGTGGTTCTGGGAGGAGGAGGAGCGGGTAGGGGGAGGAAAGAGAGGGGGAAGAAGAGGAGGAGGGATGGTGTTTGTCTCACAATTGGGTTTAATTAGAAACACATGCATTGGCTCAAATGGCTCCTTCTAGCTTGAAGTCAAGATCATGAAACCCCAGTTCCTTGTGCCTTTTGATCTGGGCCATGTGGCAGGGAGTAAGGCCTGACCTTGGCCCAGCAGAGAGGTATCTGCTTCCTCCCCTGCCCTCCCCAACCTGGTAGGACAGGAATCTGGCTGGAATACTGCCCTTTGGACAGGATGGCATCGTTGTCCCTATGCCCCTGGCCAGGCAATGGCTGCCTGCCCCAGGCCATGAACGATCACCCTGGACAGGGCATCGAGTGTGCTCAGAGGGGCCCCCCATGCAGACCCTTACCCTTGTAGGGGGCTTTCAATAATCTCTCCACTTCCCTCATCCCCAGGGCTAAGGTGGAGGACTCAAAGAGGTGCTATTAATACTACACATCCCACTGCCTGGCCCTGGGCCAGCTGTGGAGCCACGTGCCTTATCCCACCAGGGTCCCTCACTTCGTCTTCAGTCCACAGCCCACCCACATGGTGATCGTGATCACGGGACTCGGGGCTTGGGCTCAGACTCTGTAGGGATCCCCACAGAGAAGGCCCCACCTTCACAGGGACTGGAATTGTGAACTTCGTTTGCTTAAACACTGTCCCAGGATGACCCCTATCCCTGGCTCCTATCGCAACTCCCTGCTGGCCAGAGCAATGAGAGCTAACAACTTTTCCTCTGGCCTCGCTGCCTGCCTGCGGATCTCACTGAATTTTCAGCCTCCAATAAACCAGTCCCCTGAGGCTCAGGCAAGGAGGGCTCCCGCCAGCTCTGGGTGGGGCTGGCTGGGTGGAGAGCGCAGCTGAAAGCTGGGTGGTGTTAGGTCTCTATCTGGCCTTGCAGAGAGCTTACCCCTTTGTCTCCCTGAGCGGCAAGGGCAGCCACGTGGAAGGGCAGCTGCTGAGGAGACAGGGCTCCTCACTGAGACGCGAGCTCCAGATCGGGGTTTACAGGGAAAGCGGGTTCCCACGGGCAGGCCAGCCAGAAGCTGGGCACTCAGGTGTTGCCTTTCATGCTCTATAACGTTGCCCGGTGGATTATCAGGCTCACTTTTAAGATCTTCAGCCAAAAGTCACACACTGCACTCCCAACTTTCCTCTTTGTTCTGAGAAGTCAGAAAAGTATGTGTTGTGTGTGGGGGGTGTGATTGGGTACATGAAAGGACAATGAGAGGTCTCGAGACCCTTGGCCCGTGTGTGTGTGTGTATGTGGGGTGTGATTGGGTACATGAAAGGACAATGAGAGGTCTTGAGACCCTTGGCCCGTGTGTGTGTGTGTGTATGTGGGGTGTGATTGGGTACATGAAAGGACAATGAGAGGTCTCGAGACCCTTGGCCCGTGTGTGTGTGTGTGTGTGTGTGTGTGTGTGTGTGTGTGTGTTGCAGGGGAGGGGAGGGGCAGGCAGGGAAGACAGACTGTAAATTCTTTTTTTTTTTTTTTTTTAATTAAATCTTTATTGTTCAGATTATTACATTTGTTCCTCTTTTTTTTTCCCCCCATAACTCCCCTCCTCCCAGTTCCCGCCCCACCCTCCGCACTCACTCCCCACCCACTGTCCTCATCCATAGGTGCACGATTTTTGTCCAGTCTCTTCCCGCATCTCCCACACCCCTTTCCCCCCCAGGGATAGTCAGTCCATTCCCTTTCTATGTCCCTGATTCTATTATAATCACCAGTTCATTCTGTTCATCAGATTATTTATTCACTTGATTCTTAGATTCACTTGTTGATAGATGCATATTTGTTGTTCATAATTTGTATCTTTACCTTTTTCTTCCTCTTCCTCTTCTTAAAGGATACCTTTCAGCATTTCATATAATCCAGGTTTGGTGGTGATGAACTCCTTTAGCTTTTCCTTATCTGTGAAGCTCTTTATCTGACCTTCAATTCTGAATGATAGCTTTGCTGGATAAAGTAATCTTGGTTGTAGGTTCTTGGTATTCATCACTTTGAATATTTCTTGCCACTCCCTTCTGGCCTGCAAAGTTTCTGTTGAGAAATCAGCTGACAGTCGTATGGGTATTCCCTTGTAGGTAACTGAGTTTCTTTCTCTTGCTGTTTTTAAGATTCTCTCTTTATCTTTTGCTCTTGGCATTTTAATTATGATGTGTCTTGGTGTGGTCCTCTTTGGATTCCTTTTGTTTGGGGTTCTCCGCGCTTCTTGGACCTGTAAGTCCATTTCTTTCACCAGGTGGGGGAAGTTTTCTGTCATTATTTCTTCAAATAGGTTTTCAATATCTTGCTCTCTCTCATCTTCTGGCACCCCTATAATTCTGATGTTGGTACGCTTGAAGCTGTCCCAGAGGCTCCTTACACTATCCTCGCATTTTTGGATTCTTTTTTCATTTTGCTTTTCTGGTTGGGTGTTTTTTGCTTCCTCGCATTTCAAATCATTGACTTGATTCTTGCGCTCCTCTGGTCTGCTGTCGGGAGTCTGTATAATATTCGTTATTTCAGTCCGTGTGTGCTTAATTTCTAGTTGGTTCCCCAATATAAAATCGAGGGTCTTATTAGTTTTCTTGTAGATCTCATTAAGTTTATCGGCGGCTTCTAAACAGTTCTTGAGAGACCTTAAAAGTGTGGTTCTGAACTCTATATCTTCCATTGACAATTTTGTCCTGTTTCTTTGTCTCCGCATTTTGTTATGCTTCCTTGGTCCACCCCCTAGTGGTCTTTGTTCGCAGTCTTATAGTTAAATCTTGATTGTTGTAGCTAATTCCAGGGAGGGTTTGACCTCCAGGCCAAGTGGCTATGAGAATCAGCTGTGTCAGCAGTGAGAGAACTTCTGTCCTCTAGGGAGGTGCTAATCTAGCCTTTGCCTGAGGCTATCCGGCAAAAGCCTCTGTGCAGGGCTTGGGCGGGGCGGGTCGCACAGGATCAACAGGGTGGGCCGGAGAGAGCAGTTATGGCGGCTCTCAGTCCTGTCCCCAGGGGCTCTGCCTCTCAGAGTCCCAGCACCCGCTGCAAAGCTCAGAGAGAAAGCTGCACTCGCTCTGACCGAAGCCAGACAGTCCCGCTTCTCCCGTTTGAGTCTGGGTTGCTAAAGACTCGCCCGGATCTGGAGCTCAGAGTCTGCGACTCCCTCCCGATTGAAAACGCCAACCCTGCCCTCCACCGCCAGCCCGCTCGCGCACTCCGCACCTCAGAATTTGACTTCAGCACTGAGCCTCCTCTGAGTGTCCGTATGCGTTTCTCTTTCCTCCTAGTTGTAGGACTTCCACTCAGCCAGCGTTCCTGTGGTTCTGGGTGATGTCCCTTCCGTTTTTTGGTTTCACTTTTGAAGTAGTTGTTCAAAGCAGCAAACTCCGGTGTTAACCTATGCCGCCATCTTGGTTCTCCCCAGACTGTAAATTCTTGACTTGACAGTGTGGATGGAGGGAGGACATGCACCAGACAAAGGTCCTGGTGGTCGAGACGTTGTCCCACTTTCTAACCAGAAGGCCTCTTGAAAGATCTGATTTGGGAACCCCCACCCGCAGCTGCCTCATCCTTTTCCCCCCACATCATGATCCCAGGGTTGAGCCCCGATGTACAGTGAATGCAGGAGGGTAAGGGATGGTGGAGCACCCAGAGCAAGCATGTCAAACTCAAAGGCGAACATGGGCCAAATAAAGGAGGCATGCTGCCTTCGGGGCGGAAAGTTTGATATGACTGACCTAGAGCCCTGGACCCTTTTCCCTTGTGGTCCAGGGGCCAGACCAGAGCCAGGTCAGAAGAGACCACGGCTGGGGAGTCGAAGGGACTTGGGTGGTCTTCCTAAGAGGGGTTTTGCTTAACCTGGAGGAAGGAAGGCTTCGGAGGAGTAAGAGCTATTCCGAGCTGGTAGGGGGAAGAAGACCTGGCTCCCCAGGGGAGAAGGCCCCCCCCCTCCAAATTGGAGGGACACGTTTTGACTCAGGGACCACTGGAACGCTCCCCCTGTCTCTGGAACTGGGAAGTGCGATGAAGGCATCACCTACTTTAATCCTCATCACAATAGTTAAGAACTACTTGATTTCCATTTCAGTAGAGAAGAGATTATGATTTAGAAAGCTATTAAGCCCTAGCCAGTTTGGCTCTGTGAACTGAAGGGTCCAGGGTTCGATTCTGGTCAAGGGCATGTACCTGGGTTGCAAGCTTAATCCTCCTGCCCCGGTCGGGACACATGAGGGAGGCAACCAATAGATGTGTCTCTCTCACATCGATGTTTCTCTCTCCATCTCTCCCCCTCCCTCCCATTCTCTCTAAAAATCAATGGAAAAAATATCCTCAGGTGAAAATTAGAAAAAAAAGAAAAAGGAAAAAAGCTATTAAGACACAGAATTGAAATTTGAGCCCAGGCTGTCCCACCCAAGGCCCAGCACTCCTAACCGTGAGAATCAGGGCTCTGTCTAGGAAGGAAATGAATCCCTTATGAGGCCACAGCTTCCAGGCCAGAGGAGTTCAATGAGTTTGAGAACTTCCTGGGGAGAGCAGGGGCTGGACCGGATGCCTCCATTCTCTGTATTCAGTGATTCTACTCATGAGGCCTAGATGTTGCCCCAATTATGTTACTAGACATTGCCCCAAATCCTGTATCATGAGCTGGCCCGGTGCCTCCAGGGGAAAACCTTGGTGTGCAACCCACACACGGGAGCCCACCGCTGGGTCTTCACTGTCCTGGGCTTTAGGCTCACAGGTGGGTCTCCTGACACAGACCATGGAGTGAGAGCCCAAGCTCACCTGGTGTGACTGTGGGCCCTGAGGCAGGTGAGGTGGGGAGTTGCTGAGAGGGAGGGATCTAGCTGAGCGCCCACTTCCAGCCTGGGGAGGCTGGAGGGGAAGGTGCCCAGGGTGGTGGGTGCAGGGTGGGGGTGAGGGACGCAGCCTGCCACTTCCCGCTTTCTTGCAGGCCCCGGGATGCAGGCCCTCATGCTACTCCTCTGGACTGGAGCCCTCCTCGGGAGCGGCAGCTGCCAGAACAACGCTGGCAGCCCGGAGGTGAGTGGTGGTGGGTGGGGGCGTGGGAAGTGGTGGTGGGTGGGGTGGGGGCCTCTCCTTTGCAGGCACCCAGGTTCCAGACCAGGCCGCTACACCTAGACATCAGCAAAACAGAGAAAATGTCTTGCCCCACCTTTCAGAGAACAGAATGGGGACAAAAATAAGATCCTCAAAAGTGAAAAGCAAAAGCACTCTCGCAAGCCTGGGGTGCCCCTTCAGTGCAGACCCTCGTATCGCGCCAGCATGGCCAAGGGTGACCCTGGGTGGGGGCGGCGAAGGATTTAGAAAAGACAAGAGAATAGAGCTGGGTCTGAGGGGGACGCTGCCCTCTCTGATGGAGAGACTGCACCGCAGCCTGTAAGCCGTGTCTTGATAGCCAGATTCCACGAGGCAAAGTAAGGGTGGGCGTGGTCAAGATGTTTACCACATTCTCATGGGTTTCAGAGTCCAGAGTGCTAACCATTACACAATGGAACCCCCATTCTCATGGGTTTCGAGCTTACTCAACTACATGCACCTGAACTCTATCAAGCCCACATCACTCAGACCACGTGTTCGGACCGTAGGTTCAAGCTTACAACCATAGCTGTTGGCTATAATTGTGCTGGGAGGGCTCTGCCCTCCAAGCTGGGACTTGCACGTGGCCACGAGAGGACTGTGCCCTCTCATTAGTCCGAGGCTTGAACCTGTCCAAACGCGGTAGCTGCTCTCCACAGACCCTCCCTCATTACCTGCGTTGCTGCGGGTCTCTTGAGTGGGTGCTTTTCTCAGATATCTGTTCCCGTGTAAAGCTGTGAAGAGGCCGCTTTCCTGTGCGGAGGGAGTGCATTTGGGTTGCAACGGCAGATGCTAGGAGGCCGATGCTATGTGACCACGAGGCGTTATGGCCACACGAGGGGCCAGGGCAGCCAGGGCACACTCACTGACTGCAGGCCTGGACTTTGTCGTGAGTTCGAGTTGAATTCTGGCTCTCCCTCTCACTAACTTGGTGACCTTAGACAAGTCACTTGTATCTATGAAATGGGATTTAAAAATACCCATCATTACAGGACCATGTGGCCTGACACTTATATCTCATCTATGAACACCTGCTCTGCAAAAGGCAGTTCTTGCCTTTAAGGGACTCCGTCTTTTGAGATATTAGTCTGGGGAGGTCATCAAATATGTCAACAAGCATGAGATGAAGCAACTCAAATGAAAAGAACTAGCACAGAGCCCAGTCAGTACAGGGCAGATGGTTAATATATGGTACTGAACTCTGAAAAAGGTCAGAAAACCAAAAGGTCCCTTCCGATTGGGGCAAACTGGGGAAGTCTGTGGTGGAGGAGGTGATGTCGGATCAGGGCCGTCAAAGACAGAGGTTTGATGGGTGGAGAGAGACCTGGGAGCAGTGAGTGAGGGAGAGCAGACAGGAATCTGGTCTGGCCTGAGAACAGCGTTTCTTGGGAGAGGAGGAGGCTCCTCTTCTCTCCTTGGATTTAAAATTTTTTTAAATTATTTTTTAAATTATTTTTATTGATTGCAGAGAGAGGAAGGGAGAGGGAGAAAGATAGAAACATCAGTGATGAGAATCATTCATCCGCTGTCTCCTACACGCCCCCTGCTGGGGATCGAGCCTGCAGCTGGGCATGTGCCCTGACTTCTATCACACAGGTTCATGGGTTGATGCTCCACCACTGAGCCACACCGGCTGGACTTTTTTTTTTTTTTTTTAAGTGTGTCACAGGCCTGAGGCTCGCAGGTCACTAGTGTTGAAACCTGGTCAGCTAGTCTCTCTTCTGGGCTGCCTCTCCCCAGCAGAGAGCTCCTGCATGGTCACTCCAGCGTTAGCCTAAAACACACCACAGTCAGGCGGGGGCCAGAACCACAGTCCCACCCAAAGCGCTGCGGAGGCCAGTCACCCACTGCTCATCTCCACTGGTCCTTGTACTCAAATCCAGGGCTCCCCAGACCACGAGACCACAGCGGGGTCTGTGGAGGAAGAGGATCCCTTTTTCAAGGTCCCGGTGAACAAGCTGGCAGCGGCCGTCTCCAACTTTGGCTACGACCTGTACCGCGTGAAATCCAGCACGAGCCCCACGGCCAATGTGCTCCTGTCTCCACTCAGCGTGGCCACGGCGCTCTCTGCCCTCTCGCTGGGTGAGTTCTCTGACCAGAAAGCCCCAGGGTCCCAGAGCTGCCATGGGGCCACCGCACATCTCTGGCTCTCCAAGCCCCAGAGCGCCTGCATCTCAGGGAGGGGCGTAGAGATGCTGAGACTAGTCCCAGCAGGTCCCAGCAGGCAAGTGCTGTGCACACACAGGTCCCTCGCTCCCCCGGAGGGTGCTGACACCGGTGTGCGGCTTCAGGACCACTTACTGACATGGGGACTTTGACGCTCATTAATTCCTTAAATGAGCTGCCACTACGTGCCAGACGTTAGGCTCAGTTCTGGGGATGTAACTGCACAAAAGTGGGCACAGTTTTTGCCTTCACTTGGGTCACGGGGAAATGAATAAGTGAGGCCCTGGTTGGGTAACTCGTTGGTTACAGCATTGTCCCAATATGCCAAGGTTGCGGGTTCAATCCTGGGTCAGGGCACATACAGGAAGCAACCAATGAATGCACAAGTAAGCAGAACAACAAATTGATGTCTGTCTCTCTCTTCCTCCCTTCCTCTCTCTAAAAATAAAAAATCAATAAAAATAAGTAAACAACAAACCGGCAACTACAGAACAGTCTGGTGAGGCTGTGATGGGAGAAGCACAGGGACCTGTACCCTCAGGCCCACCCTTATCTCTCTCTGGGCCTGAGGCCCTTAGTCTGCTCCAGGAAAACCTCTATTTCTTCTGTTGCCTTCAAAGTCCTTCCTACCTAAGAATGTCTCCGATATCGGGAGACAAAAGACTAAGGTACAGTGCTCCTCTCCTGTCCTGCCCTGGGAGCTGGCCTGAGCTGGCTGGTGCACAGTCATCGAGCCCACATCCTTGTCTCTCTGGCAGGAGCTGAACAGCGGACAGAATCCAGCATCCACCGGGCTCTCTACTATGATCTGATCACCAACCCAGACATCCACGGCACCTACAAGGAGCTCCTGGCCTCCGTCACTGCCCCCCAGAAAAACCTCAAGACTGCTTCCCGGATCGTCTTTGAGAAGAGTGAGTGGGCTCGCCTGAGCTGCGGAGGAGCAGCGTGGGGGGTTTCTTTGCATGTCTGCCCCGGCCAGGCCCAGCCCTGGTAGGCAGGAAGTGGCCCTGTGAGCCCAAAGGGGATCCGAAAGAGGAAGTGGGCTGAGGGAGGGTCAGGGGAGGGCAGTAACACGAAGAGAAACAGCAAGGAGCAGAATCTGTAGTTCCCTGCCCAGTGCCGCCTGGGGAAGCTGGCACGAGGTCCCAGCCAGTTACGGGAAGACACCGGGAGGGAAGTCAGGGCCCGAGTGTAAACTAGAACCTAAGCCTGGCATGCCTCCAAGGAGGGGATGCGGGTTTCGCTCTCAGACGACACTAACCCTGCGCGTCTCTCCCCAGAGCTGCGGATAAAATCCAGCTTTGTCGCACCACTGGAGAAGTCATATGGGACCAGGCCCAGAGTCCTGACCGGCAACTCCCGCATGGACCTTCAGGAGATTAACAACTGGGTGCAGGCCCAGACGAAAGGGAAAATCGCTAGGTCCACAAGGGACTTGCCCAGTGAAATCAGCATTCTCCTTCTGGGTGTGGCTTACTTCAAGGGTGAGGCCTTCTCCACTTCTCTGTAGGCCAAGGGTGGATGGTGGGCGTCAGACAGGACCAGGAAAGAGGGGAAGTCAAAGACCTAGTTCAATAACTACCCGGGGGCGAAGCCAGAGGAGGGCCTGAGAAACGCACTTGGCGGAGCGTTATCTGGTGTGGTAAGATTCCTGGCCTACGAAGTGTAAAAGGCTGTGAGGAAAGAACACATGACCACCTTGTGCCTGTGTGGGTTGGGCACTGCTCGGTTTCTGGCTGGGCCAGAGCCCGGCTCTGTCTTTTCTGGCTGCAGAGCCTTGCCGACCCTCCGTAGCCTCTCTGGGCCTATTTTCTCATCTCCAACATGGGGACTCTAGGTCCCTCCCATCCTCACATCAGCCCTAGCGCTGTGCCCAGGAGCAGGTACCAATAAGCCCCTGCTGGCTAACAGCATTCTTCCAGGCTGTGGTGATAGGCCCAAGACTTCCCCGGGCCCATGGGAGGCCAGCCCCATTCTGATAAGCCTCGGGTGGGTTTTCGGGCAACCTCCCCTTAAAATACTTTATAACCATCTATGGAGCAGTAGCAAGAATGGACCCCTAAACTCCCAGAAAAATGCTCAACCTGCAGCACTGATCCCCACGAAGCGAAAGAAGCAGTTCCAAACCAGCCTGTTAAAAGGCAACATTGAACGAAGGGAGCTGATCATCAACTCGCTGTGTGACTCTGGCAAGTCCCTTTGCCTCTCTGGGCTGCAGTGCTTTTCCAGCTGTGAGGGGTGATGAGAGGAGGTCCAGGCCCCTTCCAGCTCTGACCTGCTTTGATTCTGTCTCCCGGACACACCACTGTAGAAGCGTCGACCAGGTTACTGTTCTCCCCGGTGGTCATGGAACTTGTACCATCCATCCAGTCAAATGAATAAAATCGACGTATTTCCTTCTGAGCTTACGTATTCCCTGATGTGTCGGGGCCTTTGACACTGAGGTTCCCTTAGCTAGGCTTTGGTCTTAGCCTGGTCCTAGCCTTTCTGTCTCCTGGGACTTAGGGTGCTCCATGTGTTTCATTCCAGGGCAGTGGGTAACAAAGTTTGATCCCAAAAAGACTTCCCTCCAGGATTTCCACTTGGATGAGGAGAGGACTGTGAGAGTGCCCATGATGTCAGAGCCCACAGCTGTCTTACGCTACGGCTTGGATTCTGATCTGAACTGCAAGGTTTGTAGGTAGGGGTGGGGGTGGGGGGTGAACATCAGACGGCAATCTAAATTTTACCTACTGCGTGACTTTCCGCAGTAGCTTCTCTGTATCTTTTTTTTTTCTTCTTAAAATAAAAGTGGGTAGAAACTTACCTTCTCAGGGTTACGTGTAAGAGTTAATGAGGTAATGTGACATTACCTTCTTGTGAAATTAGGGCCCTCCAGATTGGGTGCTCAAATGTTGGTTTAAAAAACCTTTTCTTTCCTTTCTTCGATTTGTGTGTGTGTGGGGCGAGGGGGGTACTTTTATTTCTGGAATTCAAAGCCAAACTTTCAAAAACTGCCACAAACTCCAAATTGCTGACCTTCTAAGTCTTTCACATATACCTGACTTCTTTTCATTCTAAGTCAGTAGTTCTTAACCTTTTTCTTTGGGAATCTGACAAAGCACCTGAAATACTTGAAAGAAATGCCATGTATGCACACACACACACATTTCTGTATATAATTTCAGGGGCTACTGGGGCCTGGGATGCAATTTGTCACATGGATCTTGGGGTAAAAACCTCCGGTCAAAGGACCCACTTTATGGTGGCTTCTGTGTTCTGTACCCACTGCCCCCGTTCCTGGTCCAGGGCTCCCTGTGTAACAGATGATTAGTAACTGTTGGCAGATAAACCTTGGGAGAAGACAGAGACCTAGAGTTCAATCCCACCTCCTGAGAACCACAGGAGAAAATTCTTTCAGCAGATAATCAGTTGGTATTGGGCCAAGGTAAGAAAAGACGTCAACTTTTTGAAGGAACATTAGTAAACATCTTGCTGCATGAACGCAATAGCCTAGAGGGACAACTGTGAAATAGATTAGGGGCCGGGGAAAGCAGGCCCAGGGCCCCACTGTGTAAGCATGTGCGTGTGCATGTGTATCCCTAGGCTCCTAAGCTCTAAAGGACTAACTCATGTGGTCTCTTCCCTGTTGTTTCAGATTGCCCAGTTGCCCTTGACTGGAAGCATGAGTATCATCTTCTTCCTGCCCCTGAAAGTGACCCAGAACTTGACCATGATAGAAGAGAGCCTCACCTCTGAGTTCGTTCATGACATAGACAGAGAACTGAAGACGGTTCAAGCAGTCCTGTCCGTCCCCAAGCTGAAGCTGAGTTATGAAGGCGAAGTCACTAAGTCCCTGCAGGACATGAGTATGTTTGCAAGGCTCCTTTGCCTTGGGGGTGGGTGGGGTTGAGTCTTGGAGCCTTCTGACTCGCTAAGTAGAACTCCTTTGTAGGGAGACCCTAGATGATTCCTTAATTGTCAGACATGGTGCTGGAGAAGACTGAACTGCCTTCCTTATCAGACTCATTCTTAGCGCCATGACCCTACATCCTATAAAGCCCCATGACCATACATTCTATAACAGGCACTCAGAACATTGCCTCTCAAGACAGATCCGTAGATTTGGTTTCTAAGCTTAACCTCAATTGCTGTGTACTTTTGGGCAAATCACTCAGCCTTTCACTGGAGCCCTATCTATCTCACAAAAGGTCAAAAGAGCTGTTCCACTCCCCGCTTGCTTTCCTCTTTGAATCAGGATTTAGGAACTAGGCGGTATTCTTCCTTGGGGTGTTGGCTAATGGAAATCTCTCTCCATCTCTGCAGAGCTGCAATCCTTGTTTGATTCACCAGACTTCAGCAAGATCACGGGCAAATCTATCAAACTTACTCAAGTGGAACATCGCGCTGGCTTCGAGTGGAATGAGGATGGGGCAGGCACCACCCCTAGCGCAGAGCTCCAGCCTGCTCGCCTCACCTTCCCCCTGGACTATCACCTTAACCAGCCGTTCATCTTTGTACTGAGGGACACGGACACGGGGGCCCTTCTCTTCATAGGCAAAATTCTGGACCCCAGGGGCACTTAATGCTCCAGTTTAATCTTCCAGTTACCCCCCCCCCCAAAAAAAAAAACAACAACCCTAGCGGGATGGCAGATTACATATGACATGAAGGCTGCCCCAATGTTTCAATGTATACTTTGCAATAAAAGTGCTTTATCCTTAATTTTTGTTACCCTGTTCCTCTTCCTTTTTTGAGCCGTATTAAGTTTAATCTGAAGATAAATAGCCCTTTGGGAATTTATTGGTCCTGCACTTCTAGCCTGGGTCTCTCTAAGCTCTGCAGAAAGTTTCCATTTATAAGGACTTTCAGTTATCTGAGCTGTATAAGGCAGGGACTGATTCTCTGCTCTGGGAATTACGAATTCTCTACTAGGATTACGAATGCCCCCAGGAGGGCATTTCCTGGCTCCACAATCTTAAATAAACCAGACTTTTAGTTTTTTTAAAAACTGAGAGAGAGAGAGAGAAATATGGATTTTTTTTGTTTGTTTCAACCATCCATGCATTCATTGGTTGAGTCTTGAATGTGCCCTAAGGATTGAACCTGCAACCTTGGTGTATTGGAACAACGCTCTAATGAACTGAACCATCCAGACAGGGCCAGACTTTAGTTTTGTTTTTTTAATCCTTATCTGAGGATATGTTTTTATTGATTTTAGAGAGGGGGAGGGGGAAGAGAGAGAGAGAGAGAGAGAGAGAGAAACATCTATTGATTGCTTTCCACATTCACCCCAACTGGAGATTGAACCTGCAACCCTTTGGTGCATGGGATGACCCTCCAACCGAGCCACACCGGCCGGGAAGATTTTAGGTTTTAATGCAAGCCCAGGTCTCTTCCAGTCAAGTCAAGTCACCTGACAACAGGGGATAACATGGATAGGTAAGGAAGTAATTTGTAATGTCAAAAAATAATTCTTTATTTTATAAAGCATTTAAAGAAAGCTCTCAAGTACACGTAAAAATGGGACCTGATATGTAAAAATTCTAAACATATTCTTTTTCGGGAAGTATGCCTATTTTACAAAATACAACAGGAACATAAAACGTGCCAAATGTTTGAAACATTGTCCACAGATTTTCTTCTTGAAAAAGTTACCTCTACAGAAAACTCCCACTGGCCACTGCCTTGCCAGAGTGAGTTAGTAGAAAAGAAAAGAAACAGATTCTGCCTGCTCTTCGTTCAAATGTTTCAGTACGAACCATGTTCCAAACACTCCGCTTCCTGAGGAGCCTCTGCCAAGCATCTTCAGGGCTATTCATTTCCTGGTGATAGCGCCGTGGCAGCCAGAGGGCACTGCTGGGGCACGGCCAGGGTGAGCAGCTCTCACAGCTGCGTGGGCCTGGCATTCCTTCCCTCTCACTCATCCGCCCCACTTGGTCACCAGTGGTGACTCAGCCCCTGGGGTTCAGACCCAGGGAGACTCCAGCCTTCTTAATGGGCGTGGTCGAGACCATTGCTACACATCCAGGTAGAAGAGAGTTATCACCCCTACCTCTGTCTTTTTAAAAATTTACTTAAGATTTTTAATTGATTATTGACAGAGGAAGGGAGAGGAAGAGAAAGAGAAACATTGATATGAGAGAGCTATACATCGATTGGCTGCCTCCTGTACTCCCCCTACTGGGGATTGAACCCCTGACCGGGAATCAAACCAGAGACCTTTTCGGTGCAGGAGAAACACCCAAGCAACTGAGCCACACCAGCTAGAGCCCTGCTTCTGTCCCTTAAGTTTGAGACCACAAGCGGTAATGGCCACGTCCTCAGTATCTTCCGACGCTTTCCCCCTTCTCAGTACTTATGTAGTCCGTATTTCATTTGCCAGCTTGGGGAGGTCTGGTAGAAAATAAAAAGTCATCTCTTTGCAGACTTGCTAATCAACAGAACTCAGGAGGCACACGTGATACATAGTCATTGCTACAAGCCCGATTTTATTAGTATTTGGTCAGTGAGTCTGCCAAGACTATAAAATGAAAGCCAGATAATAAGGCCTAGAAAACTGGTAGGAAACAAATTTAGAATTGCCATCCTGGGAAGAAATTGCCCAATCATAAAACATTCCCATATTTATTTCTCTTTTCACAATTTATACTTTACCCGTTTTAACAAAGGATTTGAGGAATACCATAAATGAAGATGTCTCTAGAGGCAAGGAGCCTCCCTGATTTCTTGCTTTATAATTATTTTTCAATTATAATACAACTACTAAGAGTTTGAGTTCCCGCTGGAGTAGTATACAACATTCATGACTCCTACAAACCATAGGAATGTTCCAAGGAAACAGATTACCATCATTTAGGGAGGTGGCGCCTCGCCAAAACCCCAGGCCGACATCCAGATGCCTGTGGATCAGCTAAAATCCTTATAAAGGGTTTAGGCTCTCCGGATACTAGTTTTAAGTCTTTTATGGGAACTGGGAGCTTTTACTGAAGGGCCTTTAACAATTTCAAGAAACATTCATCACAATAGGTGAGCATCCCTCCAACTGCGATGCTTTCCAAGTCCTCCCCACGCCTCCTGCCCGAGGCTTGTGGCAGTCAGGCAAGTCCTGCATTCCCTGGTGCCAGCTCAGTGGCAACAGAACCTCTTTAGCTCACCCATGGGTCCCTTTCTGTGGGTCAAAGTCCCCTTGGGACCCTACACAGCAGGCCCCTCAGGGACGGGCGGCAAGTCCAATAAGCAGGATTTCATCTTTTGTAGCTCCTGGAGCTCGTCATTCCCACGGCCATAGTGCACCAGTAGAACCTTTTCTGCCTTTTGTATTGTGTTCAGAGCTTCGGGTATGGCGAACCTGAACCAAAGGAGGTGAGGGGAGGGAATCCACTCATTCAATCAAGCAAATTTTAATTGAGGGTCTACTCACACCCTGGGAAGAACATTAAGATCATTTTGCCCTCAAGGATCTTAGAATCTAGAAGGGCAGATCAGATAACTTTCACAAACACACTGCAAGGCAGAGTTGGAGAACAAAATACTATTTAGAAAAAAGTATAAGGTGTCTAGGATCCTGAGAAATAGGCAAATTTCAAAGCATTCATCTGATATTTACGCCAAGGTTTACTCAGGGTAATCAAGTCCACCCATGACATCAGTCTGTAGCCCCTTTCTCTCTCTCTGGCCACACGGACTGCCTCTGTGCCTCGGAAATCAGGCCTACCCACCACTCATAAGCCGGAGAATTCTTGGCTGTAGGGACTGTCCTATGCATACACAGGATGTTTAGCAGCAACTCTGAGTCATGACAATGCAGAATGTCTCTAGACACTGCCAAATGCCTGCTGGGAAATTACTCGTGGCTGAAAACAGCTGCTTTAAAAAGAATAGGACTAGGGAGAGGGAAGAGCCCCCTGGAGCTGAGGGTGTGGAGAATGAGCCCGGGGGAGGTGAGAGTAACAGGGAGGCCTGAGAAGAACGTCTGTGTCGGTGGGTGGGGGACTGCATGGCAGTTTTCCCTAGGAAACTCCCTCAGAGCTAAGATCTCTCAGGAGAAAATTATAAAACTTAATCAGCAAAACAGAAGGACAGGATCTCTCCTAATGGGGAAATAAAGAAGTTGCAACATGCTGAAAAGCACCACAGGAAAAAAGTAATATCTGGAAGAGCCCCATAAAAGCTAGAACAGCATGTGGTCTGGCCAAGTGCTAGGAAGCAAGAGAAAGACTTACCCATTGAAAAAGATCTGGGCCAGTTTGAAGAGCTCATGGCCCATTTCGACACTGGCTGGCCCGTGGCGAACCTCAACCACTCGAAGACTCTTCTGCAGGTGGGCAGCGGACTTGTGCCAGTCCCCTGGAAAGAAATAAACATCTGGATTCAGAAAAGAACCACAATCAACTGTGGATGAACACTTCTGGGGTCAGGAAAGCTAAGTGGAAGGGAGAGCAGCCTCAGTTGAAAGACTAAGAGATAACGAGCCAGATGAGGTGGGGTCATGGCCAAACGCACCAGGCCAACTTGTTCCCTGGAGCAGAAAATAAAGACACATGCCGTACCTAAAGCAGCATAGGCCTGGGCCAGGGCATCCTCGATTTCTCCCACCAGGCTGTGTTCCGCGGACAGGAAGCTCTCAGCATCACGCTGGCACCCCGACAGCAGCTGAATGGCTCGCTCTGTCAACTCAAAGGGAAGGGACCTCATTACAAATACCAACCCAGCCCTAGACACGCGAACCCAGCTCTTAAATGTTATGTTAGCTGGGCTAAATGTGGAAACCCCACCTTGTCTCCTTGTGACCAACCCACAGTGTTTGTTCCAATAAAGCTGTGTTCTCTTTTTTAAAAATACATTTTTATTGATTTCAGAGAGGAAAGGAGGAGAGATAGAAACATCGATGATAAGAGAGAATCACTGATTGGCTGCCTCCTGCAGGCCCCACACTGAGCCCACAACCCTACCATGTGTCCTGACAGGGAATCGGGAATCGAACCGTGACCTCCTAGTTCACAGGTCAATGCTCAACCACTGAGCCATACGGGCTGGGCAAGCTGTTGTTCTCTTATGCTTTCTCTTTCAGTAGAATAAGGTTTGGGGCGAGGCCTCCTCACATTTACTCTGCGTTTCCAACGTCAGTGTGAAGTGGAATAACACACCCACATATGGTCATTGTTTCTCTTGACTCAGAGATCTAAGCTGAAGGTCAAATTTCATAAACTAGGGTAAATAAATTCCCATGACATGGAGCTCTAAGGCAGAGCTTTCGAGGGTAATGAGGAGTTCCACAACTCCCTCTCCAAAAAAAGCAGGATACTTATATCCACCAGGCACTGGCCCCACTGGTCTTAGAACAGAGATGAGGCTCTGATGAGGGCAGAACAATTTCTCCAGGAAATTAGGTCATTAGGGCCTGGAATTAAAATGACACTGAACTTCTGGACTATGCGCAAAGATCATGGGTGTCAGGGATAACCCTTTAGTTGTCATGGGATACCTGAACTTAGCCTGCTGATGCATCAGAGAACTACAGCTTAAATCCTCTGGCCCCTGTTCCAGGACCACACAAATTGAACTGGTTGGGTTTTGGTCTCCTTGGCCGACACAGCCACCTTGTGGCTGGCATGGGGATAATTAAGTGC